GGGAAAGAGAAGATATGAAAGCACATAAACCCAAGAGCCCAACTCAACGACATGTGTTCTGATTTCACATTCATAATGGCCAAGAAGAGAAACATTTTGTGTAAATCAAATCAGCCAAAGCAACAAATCTTACACTAGATCTCTAGAAAAAAGCAATCTAAAGCGCCTACAAAAGCAGACAAAAAATAGCCAAGAGGCCAACGTCCCAAACAGTGAATAGTTGAAAATTGAAATTTTAAAGAAACCGATTAAACAAGCAACTCTCTTTTGTTATCAAATTAGACAATGCAACTTATCTTAAAGTAACGATCCAGAAAAGATTTATTAAGAATCTAGGAAAGCACAAATACATAAAAGCAAAGAGATCATTGTCCCAACAGTGTGTAGTTGAAATTTCAAAAGCAACCAAACAAACTAAAGGGGAAAGAAGGTCTACTGGCCAGACTGGCTGAAATAAATTAAGAGCAAAATGAAAAGGCATTATTCGTTCCACAAACATGGATAAGAAAGATAGTTTATACGTATGTATGTATTTATGTATGTATTAATGTCCTGAATAATAAAACAAGGAAAGAAAAGAAAACTATAAATTTGGGTTGGTCCCTCTCAAGCTCTTCCTTTCAGCGACCACCACTAATGACACAAGGACCACTTAAGATTTTAAACTAAAATGCATACTTTTACAACAAAACAATATCTTTATTATGTTAATTTCTTATAATCTAGGAGCGAAACAGATTGTTGGTTGGACAAGCAAAGGCAGATTAAGCAAATTTACAATTCGGAAAATTGCAGTATTGTCAACTTTGCAAGTATTACTTCTGATTATGAAGTGACCCGGATCTGGAAAAAGATAAATTCAACAATTTAGTCAAAGACAAAAAACAAACCGTTCATTAAATTCTTTACTCAGAAAAAAATAATAAACTCCTTAAGGTCAATAATCTCTTTAATACTCGCTTAAACTAGGTAATAGGAAATTGTGACTTTTTATTTTAAACAAGCCAATCTACAGGAGCAAGATTAAAGCTTGGCTAGTTGAGATTATATCAATTTCATTTAAAGTTTGGGAAAAAAAAAGAAAAAAAAAATGGTGATGGGTACTTGGGAAAAATAGCAGATCATGAAAATTATAGAATCGAGAAAATCAAGAGTAAAAGCTTAAAGGTCAAAATATATCAAGGATTTTAATTTGATCCCTTGAAATACAAATAGCAGATCCAGACCACAGACTAATAAACCATATTCACCTTTGATTTCATTTTAACTCTAATGAATCAGCACTACACAGAAATTGCGATTTAGGAATTTTTTGGCTCACAAAATCATCTATTTTTTTCCCCCGAGAATCACAAAATCATCAATTTAGTTACAACCTAATAAAAACTGATATTCGAGACATACATTTTTCCAAGCCAATTGAAAGAACTTCCAAAATTAAAATCACAAAAGGAATCAGAATTTACAGGAATCAATTGCTTAAACAAAGGATCTAAGATGTTCATAAATTTTCGCGTGTAGAAACCCAAAAAAAAAAATAAGAAAAGGAGACGGAAAAAGAACATACCTATTGAAAGGAAGAAAATCCGAAGCAGATCAAAGTGGATTTTGCAGAATCAAATACTTGAAATGGCGAAATATTAATTGATAAGCTTGAAACGAGAATCTTGAGAGAGAGAGAGAAACGCTGGATTGTAGAGATTAGAACGAACGAATGGTTAAAAACCCCGAAACGAAACAAAGCGAAGACGACGGTCTGATCACACAAAATTGATATATCTATATATATATATATAAATATAAATATTCCTTAAACCTTATGAAGTTTGTTGCGTGTCTCTTTCTGCAATTTATATTATTTAATATCCGCGTCTGACTATACTTTTTTTTTTCTTTTTTTTTTTTTTGCATTTCTTTCCTGTTTTTAATTTTTTAGAAGCGAAAGGAAAAAAAAATCTAAAATAAAGGGGAAACAAAATTATTAGGCGTAAGTGAGCACGTCTATAATCAAATTTGACCTTAAATATTGATTGAATCTACTAATAAAAATAGATGAAACATAAAAATAATATAAGTGTCGAGACCGAATAAAAAAAAATTCGTACAGCACATAAAAATTGAGAGACTCTTTAAACAGATTCATTACAGTTGATGAATTAACTCAATCAATTGAGACTAAATCTCAAATAATGAGAACACAAACGACATGACATAACAAAAAGTTCGGTGAGTGATCATGCCAACTACCTAAAAAATTAAATTAAATTTAACAATGATAACAACAACAATAACAATGTTTAAATTGAACACAAACAAAAAACCAAAAAATGAAATTCCTTGACAGAGCATAAAACAAGGTTAATTTTGCACACGGTACCCCAGTATATGCCAATTATTTTCGTTTTTTTTAGACTTAGTAGTATAAAAATACCAAGTATAAAAACACCAAGAACATAGCACGCGAGGGTTTTTTAAAATGATAAACAAATAAACATGTCCGAAAAAAAATCTAAAAAATAAAAAACAGATTCTGCCGTATAATGTAGATCTAGTTCTTTTCTTTCTAGAATTACTCGTTTGAAAATAGATAGTTAATAGACAGGGGATTTAGAACTGTATATTTCAAAAATGAAGAGGAAATTAGACCTCTAAACATTAGAGATGTAAAAACCGATCAGATAAGACTGACACGAGTACGACACGGTAAAAAATAAGTGTGGTGCGGCATGACATGATTAGCTCGTCCGATTTATTAAGTGTTTGTTCATTTACACTCAAACTCAAAAAAAGTTTGAATTTAAGTTATAACTTTATTTAAGCATGTTCTTTTGTAAAATTTGAGTTTGAACTTGGGTTTATGACTAAAATCTGAAGTCAAGTTTCTCCATCAACTCAAGTTTCTAAACTCAAACTCAAGTTAATGAACAGTTTTTTTTTATATTCTTAAAAGCGCTATAACTTTTTCGTTTTAATTTCCATTGAGATGATTTTTTTCTATGCGTTCACAACGAATAGACGAATAAAACTTCACCCATATACCCTATTAGAAGTTTCTATCACCATTGAGTTTTTATTAAAATACTATCTAAAAAAAAATTCAAGTTTTGACCCACTCAAACACAAACTCAAATAGATTCTCAATTCAAACCATAATTTAAAATGCGAATATTCAAACACAAACTCAAATTAGAGTCCCAACTCAAATCATACTCAAATACACCTTAACTCAAATCAAGATCTGAACTCAAATCACCCTAACTCAAGAAATACAAATGAACAAACCTAAATAGACAGAGCTTGATATAACTTTTAGGCACAAAACACCCTACGAGCATGGCACGTTAAGAGCATGACACGAGCACGGACATGAGCACATTAAAAGCACGATAGGAGCTCAATTAGAAAATATAAAGTGAGAAAATTATATGCTTTGTCATGGTTTTATGCTGGCATATTATTTGTGCCGTTATAAAAATAATTAGGTGTTATCATGATCTTTTATTTTCTCATTTTTAATTGAATGACATTATTTTTGAGTGAAATGGTATAAATAATATATTTTTTTACTATTTTAAGTGGCATTTCTAGTGTTTTTTCATATAAAATGTAAAACTAATTTTATTATATATTTCTTTATAGCACTCTTTTTTTTTCTTTATCAATATTTTATCAGTATTTTAATTCAGAAACTTGAGTGAATGAGTATTCGAATATATCAGGCCCACAAGGTCTGATTTGGCTGTTTGTGTATCGAGTAGCCGTTACATTTTGGCCTTCAGTAATGAGTTTCCAAAATTTTTTGCTGTTACTATTTGTGGTCTGATTTGGGCACCCTAATGATGCCCCCTATTTGTGTATTGAATGGCATTAGTAAGAAAAAAAAAAAACCAACGCTACCCAATTAAAAATCACCTACACAAAATTTTACTTATTATATAGATAATTTTTCTTAAATTAAATTTTTGGTGTTGTATTATTGTTTATGCATTATCTCATTTTTTTATTTTTAAAAATTGCTACCCAATTAGAAAAATGATTAAAAATTATTTAGAAAACTTTTCTTTAATAAATTTTTAGGTGTTGTATTATTTCTTAGGCATTATATTATTTTTTTAGCTTAAACTACAATTTTTAATTGTCATCCAAACATTAATTCAGATTATATTTCATGTTTAAATTAAAACTTTAAATATACAATTAAACGTTAATTCAGACTAAACAAAGTCTTTTAACGTACAAATCTCTTTGAGGAGCGTTAGTTGTGCCTAGGGACGGGGAAAAAGAGAAGATAAACAAAATAAAATAAAAAGTAGACTAAACAAAGTCTTTATAGTTTTTTATTTTTTTTTATTTTTTGAGAGGTCTTTATAGTTTTTTTTTCACATCATTAATCCTCAGTCGTTAATCCTTAATCTTTAACTTTTAATCTTTAACTATAATAAAAGAACCATGACGCTCAGTACTATTCCTTTTTGGTCATTAAGGACGTCGTTTTCATGCTTGGCCACTTTTTTTTTTCCTTTTTTTCTTTTACCTTTTTTTTCTTTCTTTTTTTTTTCTTTGCTTTTCTTTTCTTCCTTTTTTTTTTTTCTTTTTCTCTCTATCTGTCTATTATATTCTCTCACCCTTAAAATCGCTTAAACTTTTTCTTCTCCTTTTGTCTATTATATTCTCTTATTTTTTAACCCGCTTGAATCTTTATTTTTTTAATTTTTTACTTTCGTGCTTTAATTTTTTTTCATTTTTAATTCTATTTGTTTACAATTGTATTTTACAACAGGTGTTTTACCTTTTGTTTCTTTTTTTTTCTTTTCTGGTGCTTTTCTTTTTTTCCCTTTCTTTCTTTTTGGCTCAATTTGTCTATCGTAGTTTCTTACCATTAATATTCTCCTATCTTTTTTCTCTGTTTGTTCCTCCTTCAATTTCTTTCCATTTGAACTTTATCGCTCTCCTTCATGAATTTTTTAAACTTTCACTCTCAACGATCTCACTGAAATTATCTCTTTAATTGTGATTAGTTATTACTTCAACTGCGTTTAATTTCTTTCATTCCTTTCATGGTAAAATCAGTTAATAAATCGTATACTTTTTAATAAATTTCAGGATACATAGACATCTAAACGTAAATATCGAAGGGGCAAAATAAAAGAAATGCATATATTAAGAAGTTATTTATGCAAATAACCCTTTTATTATTTTCTTCTATTTATTCTTTTGGTTCATAATTTACGTATTTTTCAATAGTTTACTCATAATCTAATTTATAAAAAACATCAATTACAACTCAATATGATGTCAACTATATACATGTGTATATAATATATACATATATCCTAAATCTTGATCCTAAAGATATTAATTGGGTTGGGTCGCTCATCGAACACGCTAGCACAACACAAAAAAATTTAAGTTGAGTACGACACAATATGAGACTATTATAGGCTAGCTTAAGCATAACACGAAATGACGGGCCATGTCGGGCTCATAATTTTAAGCACGTAGGTCTGGCACGACACGATGACAAGCACGACCATGGCATGGCTTATTGAGCACAATAGGTCGGCACGACAAATGTAGCTTTTTTCTTTTTTATTATATAAATTTTATGTTATTGTTACATATTTTTCAATAATTAGAAAATTTATGTATCCATAAAAATAAAATTAATTCATTTAACCTTAAAACGTTAAAAAATTTACCGTAATTTTCTCAAATCAACAAAATTAAATGTGAATTGAATATAATCTCATACATTAATACAAAATATATTTGTTGCTTATATTAAGTATATTTGACAATTAATATTTTCAAATCTCAATTAGCGGCTCTCCTTTTTTTAATTGTTTGCTTATATGTGATTCTTATAATTAATAATTTAAATAACTTATGCAATTTTTTTTATTTGTAATCCCTTTATATTAGTTGTCTTCTCTTCTCAATAATTTAAATCAAATAATAAATTTAAACTATAAATTAGTCCTAAATATATAAAAGAGTGGATATGTAGCTTTATAGAGTAGTTCAAAATGGTGAGTTTTAAGTGCTTTATTTTTTCTTTTCTTTTTTAAATTTCAACTCCTTTTTTTATATGTGACTGCGGACTACTGGTCATTATATGATAGTCTAAGATAGTAAAATTTAGGTGTCTTACTTCTTCTTTTTTTTTTTTCCCTATCCCTTTTAAGTCACAACTCCTTCATTTTTATTGGAGAAAATTACTGAACTTACCTTTAGAAGTGTATAATTTAAATTTTTACTCTTTACTTTTGATTAATATTATTTTAACTAACATAGTATTTGATTAAAATGGTATTTATTAAGAGTGAGTAGTAAAAATTAAGACTCGTGTAATTTAAGAAGGTATTTGTCTCATTTTTCTTTTTTATTATTTTGTTATCTTATTATTATGGTGTTTCATGTATTTAATCATATAAGCTTTTTATTTAAACTACTATTCATATTATATGTTTTGAATTTCTTAGTAATTTTTTCCTATCTCTTTTTTACACATTGTTGTTGGTATTCTACATTATAAAAATTTCAATTACAACTTAACGCACGTTACTAAACTAGTAATTATAAAAGTCTTTATAGTTTTCTTTATTTGTATACATCTTATCCATGACTAGCAAATTATTATGAAACAAATTAATGTATTGACCATTTACTAAACTAGTAATTATAAAAGTCTTTATAGTTTTCTTTATTCGTAGTTTTTTTTAATTATTCTTTTTTTTTTTGATATAGAGGTGATTC